AAGTGTGTTTCATCTGCCAGACTGGCACTTCTCACTGATGTCTTATGACAAGGATGTGATCTCTCAAGGCATCATGTTTGAAAGAATCTCTTGCAAGCTGTTGATTTATCTGTCTCGTTCTGTGCCTTTCCTTCTTTCCTCTTTTCCCTCATAGATCCACACAGTGTCTAAATCCTTCCACAGTTCTGGTCTTGTGGTGTTTGTTCTCATTTATTTGACCACTATGAGGCCTACCACACGTGGAAGTTTATCAGATCTTATTTCAGAGTCAGGGTACACTAGTTAGCACAGTGGTTAAAATATAAACAACAGTAGAAGGCTTTTTAAATAGAAGTTGACCCTTGAAATTGGGTTTACTGTAAGCTCAGAAAAAATCCCCTGAGAAGAAATTGCAAACAATGTCAGAGCACAGGTCACACCTTACTGAATAAATTCACATAAACTTGATTTCCCTAAATTTCACATTCAGAAAAATTGAGAAAACAGCCAATTAAATATCAGTTATTTGCTGGTGCATAAGAGGAGAAAGGACTAAAGGCAAGATTCAGTTGCTTGAAGGGGAAGATCTCAAAAGGCAGCTCTAAGGAAAGGCACAGCTGAAAGGGGGTGAGCGTGAACTAAAGGAGCTCATGTAAGAGCTCCGGAGGGTAATGCTATGACACAGATCCACAAGCACCTGGGTAATAAGGAAGATATTTTTGCTTTCTTTTCAAAGACAACCAGAACAAGTGACACAAGTGGCATAGCCCTAGTTCACAGAGCCAGAGGGAACTTTGGGCAGCAACCCCAGAGGGATAATGTGGACGGCTTCCAACAGCAGGAGCTGCTCCAGCTAATGTGGGAAGGGGTTCAGGAAGGAAAAATGTAGACAATTTAAGAATAAATTCTGCCCTTGCTCTAGACAGGAAGGAACACAGAGGGCTGAAGACCAGGTGGATAAGCTCATCTCTGTAATTTTTGGCCACAGATGCTAATGTATCCAAGGAAAGGAAGGTGATGATGACAGCAAGGCACAGAGAGGATGTTTTTCCAGTAGTGAAAGTTTTAGTCTTTGAGATGTTCATTTGTTCTGGCTGCTGCCAGATGTAAGAAACCAGGAGAATAAAGTCAGACAGACATGTGAGAAACAGAGGTTAGGAAGTGAGCAGACTAAGTGTCAACTTTACAGAAGAAAGATCTAAAGAATTAACTACTGGGGGTTTTGTGTTGCTGAGAAAAGTATCTGGAAAAACAAGGACCCTGCAGTTGCACTTAACAGAGGTGTGAAGAGCATTAATGCCATAAAGAATCTGACAGCAGCCTTTACTGGAGGAGATTAAGAGAAAGTGCAGTCCTTTCCCCACCTTAAAAGTAAGCAGATGAAGTGTTAATTCAGCTGTAAATGCTCAGAAATAGTGCCTAGTTCAGCAGCCATGGCATTTAGCACCCAGTGTGCTAGAACTCTTTGCACATGAGGAACAACTGCATCATGTCACTGCTAGATAGGAGAGCAAGACCATTCTCCATTTCCTAGACAGAGAGCTTTGGAGAAACCATAGCTTAGGTAAAAGATGGCGTACAGCAGAGTCACCCACCTGGTGCGCAGCTTTGAGTCCTGCTCAAGTGTCCTGGCATGTCATGTCCAGCACTACCACTGCTTTGGGAAATG